TTCGATTGGGAAGACATCAAGTAATAATCAATTAAAATCAAAGCAAATGAGTGATTGGGGAATGAGGAGTGATATTGATTAAATAAACATATTCAAATCTAATTCGTCATTAGGCCTTAAACAATTCGTTACAACAAAATCCAAGCCTTCAGTAGGTCTTGAAAAATTATTCCTTAATAATGGGAAACAAATGGGAAACCTTATTAGGCCTTAAAAAATACACGCCTCTGATAGGAATTAAATCATATCCTTTAAAAAATCTGATAGAACTTGCAAAAAAAATAATAATAATAAATCGGCTCTGATAGGCATTGACAAATTATTCTTAAAAACCAGTAAGGAAAATTCAAAAGTCGGACCAGCCGACTATATGATACCCTTTACCACTTTGGGTACATACAAAAGATTTTAATACCTACAATATCCTGTATATAGAACAGACATAGAATTTTTGGAGGACCATTGAGATGGAATCGGGTCGAAATTAAATGTGCTATCTAGATAGATATTTGAACCAATTGAAAAACCCACATACACACATACCATCCTGAAATCATTGAAAAATGTCAAACGGGCTAACTTGGATTCTTTGGTGTACCATTTGTATGAAATTGAGTAAAATTATGTATGGGAGCTATATATAAACACAGGGACCTAATTGAGCGAACGTTACATACACCATTGTTATACCCTTCAGGGTAATATGTCTTTGTGCATATGTTTGTAACAGGCAAAAATAATCGAGATAGACCCATGGCTCCTTTTGAGAATATGCATAGAATCACCTTCTAAGTCGATTTATGCATGTCCGTCCGTCCATCTGTCTGTCCATGTTAAATTGTAAACAAAGTACAGGTCACATTTATGCTCCGAATGGCACAGCTCATTTGTTTGGCCCAAGGACGAACCCTATTGAAATTGGGAAAAATCGGTTCAGATTTAGATATAGCTCCCATATATATTTTCGTTCGATTTAAGGTAAATGGTGCACCAAAGTCCCTATATATCTTTCGATTTGCACGAATTTTGGTATAGGGTACTGAATTAAGTCTAGAATGATATTGCTAAGCTTCGTGAAAAGATCCGTTGCTAGGCCGATTGACACAACGTACTAATGTTATATAAATTAGTCTCTGGCAAGTTTCCCTGAAATCGGTTGAGATATACATATAGATTTATAACAACACATCGCCCGTTAGGATACATATGTAATATATACCCATAGTGGTGAAGGGTATCATATAGTCAGCCCAGTCCGACTTTACCACTTTCCTTACTGTTACTGTTATTTTTTTTATTTTTTTTTTGTATCATTTTATATTCAACTTACTACCCTCTGCCAAATTTAGTGTAAATCGAACAAACGTAGCTCCTTCGGTACACCATTTATATAAAACCCAACGAAAATATATATAAGACCAATATCAAAACCTGAACCGATTTCCACAAACCTTATTACACATCATTTTTTTCCTCAATTTCTTCGCCATGCAAAATTTTGCTCAGTCGGACATATATTGGGAATTTGGTGTATCATTCACATAAAATCGGACGAAACTATATATGGGAGCTATATCTAAATCGGAACCGATTTTAGCAAAATTTCGCAGACATCAGTCTGGACCTTATTCAGTGCGCTGTACAAAATTTTGTCCTAATCGGACATATATATTGTGAGTTTGGTGTATCATTTACCTAAAATCGGACGAAACTATATATCGGAGCTATATGTAAATCGGAACCGATTTTAACAAAACTTCGCAGACATCAGTCTGGACCTAATTCAGTGCGCTGTGCAAAATTTTGTCCCAATCGGAAAAATATTGGGAGTTTGGGGCATCATTCACACAAAATCGGACGAAACTGTATATGGGAGCTATATCTAAATCGGAACCGATTTTAGCAAAATTTCGCAGACATCAGTCTGGACCTTATTCAGTGCGCTGTGCAAAATTTTGGTCCCAATCGGACATATGTATTGGGAGTTTGGTGCATCGTTTACCTAAAATCGAACGAAACTATATACGGGAAATCTGAACCGATTTTCTCCAATTTCAGTAGGGTTCGTCCCTGGGCCAAATAAGTCAACTATGCCAAATTTCATCCAAATCGGATCATAAATGCGACCTGTACTTTGTTCACAAAAATATATGGACGGACGGACAGACGTAACTCGACTCTGAAAGTGATTCTATGCATATTCTCAAAAGGAACCATGGGTCTATCTCGATTCCTTTTGCCTGTTACAAATACACACCATGATAAGAACTTGAAAAAATATTCCTTAAAAATAGGCATTGCGGAAAAAATATTCATAAAAAAATCAGCCTTCATAAAACGGACATTTTTTCTTTTTAAAACTAAGGCTTGATAAATAATTTCTTAAAATATATTCGCCTTAATTGGCGCTTGATAAATAATTTTTAAAAAATACAAGCCTTGATCTACGCCTAGATTAGGGTTTTAAAAAATATGTTTTTTAAGAAATTTTGAAAAAATATTCTTTAAAAAAAGTCATGCCTTGAAAAAATTTCTTAAAAACCTCGCCTTTCATATTTTCTCTTTTATTCAAATTTGTGCAATTGTTATGACGGATGAGAAGGCATAAATTCGACTAAGATACATAGACTATTAATCCAATAGATTACACCGTGACACAATTTGTTTCCCCCTTAAATCTCCATTATAATGAATAATAGCCTTGTTATTTATTGGGAATTATTTTCTTTTCAAAATAGGAAAAAATCAAACAGTTAGTAAATACCTCTAAAATATGTCTTTATATCCAAAAAAAAAAGTGTATGGCCCGTGCTATAAACTGAAATAATTTATAGTATTAACATATAAAGTAATTTGTTTTATTTTCGTTTTTTCTTTCATCCGATACAAAAGAATAATCCATAGATTGAAAAAAAAAAACGAAACAACCAAACAAACATATCATACATCTTTTTTTTGTCTTTTGATGAATATTGACTTCTTTATATTGGCCGGTCGGCCGAATAGAATTAAGATTTATGGATGAAATGATAAAAATCTCCTACTAATTGAAACAAATAACAAAAGCCGGTCATTAAGCCAACCAAACACAGACCAAACAAAAACATGTTGTATGACATGGCTTAAATGTATCTATATTTTTGTCATTGTTGTTTTTGTTTTATTTTGAGAATATAATCCCGTAAAACCACATATTAGTCTGTGGTGACGTATACACAACATGTGTGTGTGTGTGAATGTTGGTGTTCGCTTTTAAATATATTCACTCGTTAGCGCATATTTAATTAAGATATGTAATTTGTTAATTGGTCAATTGGAATTTTTTCTTTCGTTTCGTTTTGATTTTTTTTTTTGCTCTGGGTAGGGTTGCTATTTTGATTTACTTTGAATTTTTATTGCAGATTTTCGGCGCCAAATAGACATTCCAGAAATATTTTTGCCCAACAATAATTCAGGTCTTGAGAATAGTGTGGTTTTGTTAAAGAATATTTTTCAAAGACTTGAAAAAGCTCTTTTGAGGCATTATCAAGGAGTAGATATTTTTTAAAGTCCAACAAAAGGCTTGCATTTGTTTGTCAAGACTTAATCATGCCTTCGATTTTTTAAAAAAAATATTTTTTCAAGCCTACATTTTTTTTAAACATCCAATCATTAGGATGTTTAAAAAAAATCTTTAAAGCCCTAATTAAGGCTCGGGTTTTAAAGAATAATTTTCCAAGGCCTTTTTAAGGCTCGGTTTTTAAAAAATAACTTCTCAGGACCCTCTGCAAGACGCGGGTTTCCAAAGTAATTATTTTTTGATGACTTTTAAAGGCTCTGATTTTTTAAAGAATTGTGATCCAAGGTCATATACAAGGCGAGGGCTGGTTAAAGAATTTTGTTTCGTGTCTTCCATTTAGGAAAGTGGTAAAGGCGGACGGGGCGATTATATGATATCCCTCACCACTTCGGGTATTTTCAACAGATGAATCCTAACAGACGTCGCATTTTTAAAGGACCAGTAAAATGAAATTGGATCCATAAACATGTCATTCTGCAGCCGATACTAAATTATTCATTTGGTCAGATATAGAAGCTATATCTAAATCTGAACCGATTTTCAGGAAACATAACACATATCATTCTAGGCATAATTCATTACGCTGTGCCAAATTTCGTGCAAATAGAAAGATATATAGGGACTTGGTGCACCATTTACTTTAAATCGGACGAAAATATATATGGGATCTATATCTAAATCTGAACCAATTTTCAAGTAACTTAACACTCATCATTCTAGGCCTATTTCATTGCGCTGTGCCAAATTTCGTGCAAATCGAGGGATATTTGGGGACTATGGTGCACCATTTACCTTAAATCGGACGAAAATATATATGGGAGCTATATTTAAACCTGAACCAATCTTCTCGAAACTTGACACACATCATTCTAGACACAATTCAGTATACTATGCAAACTTTCGTGCAAATCGAATTCTATATATGTGGCTTTAGTGGATCATTTACATTAAATAGGACAAAAATATATACGGGAGGTATATCTAAATCTGAACCGATTTTACTCAGTTTCAATAGGGTTCGTATATATTTATATGGCCCGTCAAATCATTAAATTATTAAAGAATATTTTTTCAAGGTCTCATGAAGTCGGGAATTATTCAAGAATATGTTTTTCCGAGTTTGATTTTTTTAAATATTTCTTTGTTTATTTTAGAAAAAAATATATTTTTTAACTTTACTAATTAAAACTTTTTCCTAATCCCTTTCATTTCAGATTCCACTAATCGAATAACCCCCCAATTTAAAAACAAACAACCACAAAAATGTGCTAATAAAAAAATAAAACGAACAAATTTAGCATTAAACCGCTTAATTTTTGATTGGCAACAAAAACAACAAAATTTGTTGCATTCAAACATCCACCACAACAACAACAACAAAAATAAAAATAATTAAAACCACACAACTTAAACGTCTTCACAAGCAACGCGTGCCACCAATATGGCACAAAATCGAGCGCACAAAAAGCGCTCAAAGCTTAAAAGCTTTAGCAGTAGTCTAAATCAATCGAAAACATTTTCATCAGCAACAACAACAATTACAACAGCAACACCAAGAATTATGTCAGCCGACAAAAGTCTGAGGTGTCATAGCAAAGAACAAAACGCTCCCGCGCAAAGAAGAAGGTTATCGTGTCGGTCGTCGTCGTCCGTTTCGGTATCCGCGTCGTCTTCGTCCTCGTCGTTATCATTTTCATTATCGTCGTCGTCATCGTCATTATGTCGCTATACACTGGCATTTGCATTTATTTTATTAACACTAAATAGTCAATTTGCAAACGTTTTTACTCAAGAGATCTCCGAAACACATCAGCAGCAACAGCAAACAGCCTCCAAATTTGCCCCCAAAGGCACAGTCAGTCAGTCCACAACACGATGAGCATGTTACGCCAGGAGCCGATACCAACAACGCCCACAAACTTCCTACACATGGCCTGTCAGCAGCAAATGCAGCACGCATGTTAGCCGGCTCAGGTGGTGCCATTGGCACGAGCACCCCCACCAGCAATGACATGTCCCTGGTCTTGCCGCATGACACCTACCCCGGCTTTAGTATAAAACGTTTCAAAACCCGACCCATCGAAGAGAGCACAAATTACACCGACAGTCACCATCACTCGGGGGGCCATTTCAGCTATCAGCATGGTTCGTATCATATGTTGGACAACGAATATGCCAAGTACTTCACGGTGCTGGATGATGGCGTGGTAATGACTACATCGGATATCTCACCTCTAGTCAATCGCCCGGTGAATTTGGTGGTGGTGGAGGAGACGCCCAACTCCACCCAGACCCACAATATCCAGCTGTATGTTATGCATCGAAATGACATGTTACGTTTTCCCGGCTCCATGTTGGATGCCTCGGGTGAGGTGAAGGAAAACAAGCCAGCTGGGACACGAGTACGTGGTGTGCCTCTAATGCAAGCCTTTAGCAATGGTGATGTGGAGGCGGAACCCAAGAAGGTGCGTTACTCCATCATTGGTGGCAATGAAGATGGTGCCTTTGCCCTGCAAAGTCGCAATGCCAAACAATCCGATGAACGTTCCACATCATTGGTCATATCGGGTGATGATGAAAGTGGTGTTTGGTTGGTAACCAATCGCCCACTGGATCGTGAAGAAACTGCCCACTATGATCTGTCCGTGCAAGCCTCCGATTTGGAGGATGTTGACAAAACCGTATCGAAAATCCAAGTTACCGTGCTCGACGAAAACGACAACCGTCCGGTGTTCAAGGCCCATGACTATAAATTTGCCATTGCCGGCCAAAAGAATCCCGAATTGGATACGAACAACTCAACCACCTGGAAACGTTTTAGCATTGTTGGCAAAGTGGAGGCAGTCGATGCCGATGGTGATAAAATTGCCTATCGACTAAAACAACCTAGCAATACGGTCATCATAGTTCCTCAAACGGGTGAAATCATGTTAGTGGGCCAGCCACCCACCACGGAGTTGCTGCTCGAAGTGGAAGCCCACGATCTGCGTTATCCCAGTTTGGTTAGCTCACAACCTGCCAAGGTCTTAATTGAATTCCTACAACCGGAACCCGTGTCGTTTATAATGCAACATTTGGAACATGACGCCATCAATGAACATTCCCATCATCGTGAAAAACGTCGTGTCACACGTGCTGTCCGTCCAACAAAACGTATTGAATTCACCGAAGCTGATGGCGATACGGAGGGCAAGTCGGTATTCCAGCTGGAAAAGGAAACCGATAAGGAGACATTTAAAATTCGTGATGAAAATCCTTGGGTAACGGTGGAGACAAATGGTGCTGTGCGCGTCAAAAAGAAGTGGGACTATGAGGAGTTGGGTCCCGAGAAGACAATTGATTTTTGGGTTATCATCACAAATACCGGACATAATGGTAAGTGGAAAGAAAAATAAATTTTTCTTAAATAAATAGGGTGATATTTTTATAAGTGAACTCAAAAAAGAACCCTTTAGGGTTCTTCGGTACATGGAAGGTTGACGGAGCCTGAGAACAATTTTTGAGGTGAATTTTGGCCCCAAATTGTTATTTTCTCAAGTAAATACAAATTATTAGATACTGAAAAATCCCAAATTTTTCAAGGACCCTTTTAGGGAAATTACATTTCTCAAAGACGGACTAATAATGTGGGGAATATTTTTTGAACGGAAACATTTCAAGGAGAGGCAATAGATGCGCAAATATTTTTTTTTTACTGAAAGGAAATTTCCACAACAGTTCTAACAAATTTTCACGCGGACTTTCAAAGGTCTTAACTTATAATATGTTTGCTGAAAATCCTTCGTAGATTTTAGATCCGACAAGAAGTTCTCAAAACTATACTTTAAATCCTGGCCTCTTATATACCTTCAAAAAATATTCTTTAAAAAAATCCTGACTTCTGGCAGGCTTTGAAAAATATATAAAAAAAAATTATTTTAAAGAGTTCCTTAAAAAATCTTCTTCAAAAATGTACGACCTCAGTAGGACTTACAAAAGTACTACTTAAAAATCGAAAAAATGCCTTAAAAAATAATTTAAATAAAAATCACGTTTTTAATCGACGCCCTTAAAATGGCATAAAAAATAATTTTAAAAATCAATTATTGATAGGCCTTTAATTTTTTAAATCCACGCCCTTTATAGGCCTTACAAAAATCCACGCCCTGAGTTGAGGCTAGAATATTCTTTAAAAAATGCAGACCCTGAAAAATATTCTTAAAAAAATCCCGCACTCTTCTAAGCCTTAAAAAATTCTCTAAAAAGTCTTGGAATCTTCTAAGCCTTGAAAATTTTTCTTTAAAAAATCTTGGAATATTCTAAGCCTTAACAAAATATTCTGCAAAAAATCCTGGAATATTCTCAGCATTAACAAAATATTCTGTAACAAATCCTGGACTCTTCTAAGCCTTGAACAAATTTTGTGTAAACAATTCTGGACACTTCAAAGCCTTGAACAAATTTTGCGTAAAAAATCCTGGACTCTTCTAAGCCTTGAGTTTTCATTAAAAAATCCTGGAATCCTGGACTTATGCCTTGAAAAAATATTCGTTAAAAACTCTTTGCCTCTTCTAGGCCTTGAAAAAATATTCAAAAAAAAAACTCCTCGCTTCTTCTAGACCTTGAACAAATATTAAAAAAAAAACTCATCGCTTCTTCTAGGCCTTGAAAAAATATGTTTAAAAACTCCTCGCCTCTTCTAGGCCTTGAAAATATCTTCTTTACAAAATCTACGCCTTTATAAGGCCATGAAAACATATCCTTTAAAAAATATACGCCTTCATTAGTCTTGAAAAAATATAATTTAAAAAATCCACGCCTTGATTAGGTCTTGATAGGCCTTGCAAGAATATTATATAAAATATCGACGCCTCTGATAAGCCTTGCAAGTATACTCTTTAAAAAAATCACGCCTTAATAAGGCCGTTAAAAAATCCACGCCTTGATAAGTCTTTGAAAAAATATCCTTTAAAAAATCTACCCCTCCTTTTGGCCTTGAAAAAAAATTCTTTAAAAGATCCATGCCGGTTTTAGGCCTGACAAAATATTCTTTAAAAAATCTACCCCTCTGTTTGGTCTTGAAAAAAAATTCTTTAAAAGATCCATGCCGGTTTTAGGCCTGACAAAATATTCTTTAAAAAATCTACCCCTCCTTTTGGCCTTGAAAAAAAATTCTTTAAAACATCCATGCCTGTTTTAGGCCTGACAAAATATTCTTTAAAAAATCTACCCCTCTGTTTGGCCTTGAAAAAAAATTCTTTAAAACATCCATGCCTGTTTTAGGCCTGACAAAATATTCTTTAAAAAATCTACCCCTCTGTTTGGCCTTGAAAAAAAAATTCTTTAAAAGATCCATGCCTGTTTTAGGCCTGACAAAATATTCTTTAAAAAATCTACCCCTCTGTTCGGCCTTGAAAAAAAATTCTTTAAAAGATCCATGCCTGTTTTAGGCCTTGACAAAATATTCTTTAAAAAATCTACCCCTCTGTTTGGCCTTGATAAAATATTCTTTAAAAAATCTACGCCTTCATTAGGCCTTGAAAAAATATTCTTTAAAAAATCTACCCCTCTGTTTGGCATTAAAAAAATATACTTTAAAAAATCTACGCCTTGATTTGGCCTTAAAAAAATATTTTTTAAAAAATCTACCCCTCTGTTTGGCCTTGAAAAAATATTCTTTAAAAAATCTACGCCTTCATTAGGCCTTTAAAAAATATTCTATAAATAATCCACGCCTCTGATAGGCCTTGAATTTTTTTAATTCATGCCCCTGATAGGTCTTGAAAAAATATTCTTTACAAAATCCTAACCTCTGATAGTCTTTGAAAAAATATTTATAAAGAATATCCAAACAATATTCGATTATTTAATTCCGCTATCCCTGTATAAACAAATCAAGCAAGAGAAAGAACCCCTCATAAGAAAAATATGACTTCCTTCATCCACCCTGACATGTCCCCAGACATTAAGAGAAAACAACAAAAAATAAACATTTCAACAATTTCTTGTTAATTGTTAAACTAATGGCCACTATTAATAATAATTTTTCCTTCCACATTCCGAACATTTATGTCTTAGGGTTGGACTGTCACAAAATAAAGTTTTGCGAAGGACCAAATATAAGGCGTGGGGAAAAATGTTTAAATTAAAACTTCAAAAAGCAATTAGTATGTTGAAAAAGAAAATAAAAACAACGACAAGTCTTAAATAAATACGAACGAAACCAATGGGGCCCAGTTGTCATCAGAGAAGAGTCCCTTTGGAAAATTAATACCAACTCTCCCCATCAGAATGAACAGCAAGAACAACAACAACTAAGGGAATTAAAGAAAGTCTGACATAAAAACGAAGAAGAAGTGGAAGAAGAAGGAAAGACAAATAAAGACATTTAGGGCGCATGTGCTGTTAATGTGTACCCGACTCAAGGGTGAGGGAGGAAATTGAGCCTGCTGAAGAAAGTTGTGGGAATGTCACATGAAGTACAAAACTGATGGACGTCTATGTTGGGTCGAGCAAAGTTCAGAAAAAAATAAACAATTATATTTCTCTCACATGGCTGTTGGATATCTAAATAAACAACAATCAAAACAGAAATTCAAACATGGACTATGACGGTCTTCCCTTGTCAAGTACTGGGGGTTATGATTTTCGAAAGGGTACTTCTTCGGCACCCACATCACATTTCAAGCATTCTCAGCAAGGCATGGAAAGAAAGGGAAAATTGTCCAGAAGGCGGCAGCACTTCAGTCTCGAAGAACAGCAACACATAAAACAACTCTTTTGCATATCTTTTGCTACAACAAATGTTGCTTTTGTTGTTGTAACATTGCTACTTCGTCTTCTTCATTATCATTCCACTTTGACTGTGAAACAAAACACAAACAACAACAAAAACATGAGGGGGAAAAATCAACCAGAAGTGCCACTGCATCATCAGTAGCCAAACAATTGTTCCTTGTTATTCTGCCAGCCATCCATCACCCGCACCCTCCCCCCACTACAAATCGAACGAACGCATGCGAACAAATTACTAACGAATGTTTTTAATGTCATGAACTTGTCTGTCAAATTTTTGTAACTGGACAGAATGTTGTGTTCCACAACAATAACAACAACAGCAACATCATCCTCATCATATGGTAGCATTGCTACAGTGCAATAAAATGTTGCATGTCTACTATGGCTTGACTTGGCCTGGGATGGCCTCTGTTGCTGCTGCCACTCCACACACAGTAGCAATGACTTCATATGTCGACTGGAATTAACAACAGTCTGGACTGGATTCGGTTTTTATGTTTTATAGTGCAATGCAGTATTTTGTGCCGAACAGTGGGATGAAAAATTAGGAAAAATATGCTTAAAAAAAACGACACCCTTAATAGGCCATGAAAAAATATTCTTAAAAAAATCGACACCGTTAATAGGCCATGAAAAAATATTCTTTAAAAAATATGCACCCTTAAAAGGCCTTGAAACAATATCCCTTGTTTTTTTTATTTTTATTTATTTTTATTTTTTCAGGGACCCTTGTTAGGGTCCCTGAAAAAATATTCTTTAAAAAATCAACGCCTTGTGTAGGTCCCTGAAAAAATATTCTTTAAAAAATCAACGCCTTGTGTAGGTCCCTGAAAAAATATTCTTTAAAAACTCCACGCCTTGTGTAGGTCCCTGAAAAAATATTCTTTAAAAACTCCACGCCTTGTGTAGGTCCCTGAAAAAATATTCTTTAAAAACTCCACGCCTTGTGTAGGTCCCTGAAAAAATATTCTTTAAAAAATCCACCCCTTGTGTAGGTCCCTGAAAAAATATTCTTTAAAAAATCCACGCCTTGTGTAGGTCCCTGAAAAAATATTCTTTAAAAACTCCACGCCTTGTGTAGGTCCCTGAAAAAATATTCTTTAAAAAATCCACGCCTTGTGTAGGTCCCTGAAAAAATATTCTTTAAAAAATCCACGCCTTGTGTAGGTCCCTGAAAAAATATTCTTTAAAAAATCCACGCCTTGTGTAGGTCCCTGAAAAAATATTCTTTAAAAAATCCACGCCTCCTATAGACTTTTAAAAAATATACACCTGTCATATGCCTTGAAAAAATGTTCCTTGATCTTAAAAATCCAGAAAAAAATTCTTTAAAAAATCTACACCATTAATAAAATACTCTTTAAAGAAACCAAGCCTCTTATAGGCCTTGAAAAAATATATAGACCTTGAAAAAATATTCTTTAAAGAAACCAAGCCTCTTATAGGCCTTGAAAAAATATATAGACCTTGAAAAAATATTCTTTAAGAATCCACGCCTCCTATAGACCTTGAAAAAATATTCTTTAAAAAATCCACGCCTGCTGTAGACCTTCAAAAATATTATTTAAAAAATCCACGCCTCTTATAGGCCTTGAAAA